TGTAAAAGCTAGAATATATATCAGTATATAGTAATTAAACCTGTGTTTTGTCAGACAAAACAAAATTTTGAGCAAAGATTGAAATTCAGCATAGATTTCAGTAAAGAATAAAATACTAAACAGTTTGGGACATCGATTTCGAGGTCAGTAACTGACCCTAACTATTTTGTATCTTTAATTATCTAACAGCACATAAACTGTAGCGCGATACAAATTTATGAACCCTAACAACAGTTAGGAAACCAGGTGTTGAGTTTTTGTATTAAGCCAAAGAACGGTGGATGGACTTTCATTCCGATTCAGTGTTATACCTTTCTCTTGAGTATCAAACGGCATTTAATATTGGGTCTAAGATCTGATTATGATTACTTCCGTCTTTAGAATTCAGACGAAGTGGAGTGTGCTGTGTAGCCATTTTGACAAGTAGCTATATTAGTGTAAAAACATCAAAATGGGGTTAATCACTATGTCCCATACCACATGGCATTGGTTACTACTTTGTAAATAACCTAATTAACTCTTGATGAATGAGTAAAATTTATTGAATACTTATCCACATAAGTCACATTTCAGTAATTACTACCCTGCAAACCTGATCAATAGAAGTTACACATTAAAAAGAACAACGCAATATAACACTAATTACTATTCAGTGACAGGTTGCCATTTTTTTCATCGTTTTTTGCTAACTTGGCTCAGTGGTAGGGATTTATCTTGCTTATCGTAGGACCTAAACGTTCTAGATTAGGATAAAACATTTTCCCATTATTCCCTGGTTTTTCAGCGATAATTCAATTGCCCCACGTCTGTGATAAAAATCAGGTTCAAGATCCTTAATTAACATGTGACAAGTAAAATAAATATGATATCTTCAAATAGAGATTCCAGTATTTCGATATCATTGAACAAAATATTATTATAACTTATCCGATCACTTTGATATATGGATGTATGATAAGCACTTAGTGTTTAATCACATGAAAATTATTCATATTAAGAAAAATAAAATTTATTATAACAGTAGATTTTGTAAATTAGTTATTAGAATAAATGACCTGAAATGTTCAGAGATGAATTTTAGCAAATTCAAATAGCGGACAATTTCAATGCTAAACATGAATAATAGTCACAACAGCGATAATAATTATAAAAATGATTAAGTGCCACTAAGTACACAATTCACAAATATTTTTCATAACTAATCGAGGCACGCATTCAAAATCATTGGACTATCCACATAACCATTGATAGTTTTTTGGACAAAAGGTGGTCATAATAACTAGACAGTTTATACGATAATGATACGTAATTTGAGCCAATAGGTGATCGGTTCAAGTATCAGTTAAAGCAACAAGACTGTTGTTTACGAAATTAAGAGGACGTAAAGCGAATGTCCGGCGCTTAACGGGGTTGATGGATATGGAGGAGCCACAAAGGGGAGTTGCGGAACCCTGATTCCAAACCAATGGTGACGATGGGCTCCAGGATCCTGTGGGAACAAAAGCGTGTAAACCAATTATTGGTCATCAGCTACCATGAGACTGCATCTCCTAACGTCGCTCCACTGTCTTGTCGATCAGACCTTTAGGTCGAACGTTCCGTGTGTGCCCGCCTAAGAAAACCACCTACTTCGAACTGGGCACCAGGACAGTATCACAGCTCACACACAAATCAAGTGATTTGTGTGGGTTATATGTACTCAGTGACCCTTTGTACCAATATTTGTGTTCAAATAAATATAAATAAATAGAAAGGCTGGTACAAATATATCAAAATGACAAACTCCAATTCAAGTGAAATGCACGCTATTTGTATTCCACTGCAAGCTACCAAAAAGGTCTATTTTTTCAACAAGGTCCCTGGATCTAAACTTGTCATCTATGACAACTAGGATTCAATTACTAGTGAGGCAAACTACCAAAATGTGTTTACCATAAGAATATCATCCTTACACTTATCAATAACGTATTAAGTTATGGATGAGCACTAATGATAAGTTGCAAACTAGGACAAAAAAGAGACATTCAATTATTCCTATTTCAGAATGGGTTTTGTGGAGAGTTTAAGAAATTTCACAGGTTGAAATCATGAGTCAGTTGAAGCTAGACCACCATTGAAAACCTGGAAGCACTGGACGGCCGTTTCGTCCTGGTATGGGACTCCTCAGCAGTGCGCATCCACGATCCCGCACCACGCGGGGCTCGAACCCAGGACCTACTGGCTCCGCGCACGAGCACTTATTCCTATTTCCTAATGGTTTTTCCTATGAATAATAACTCAGTGATTAGTTGCGGATCGTTTCTGCATGATGAACTGATCTACACGAAACACATTCAACCGTATTGTAACCATGCTCATTAGTGAACTACGTCAGGATAGATCCCTGAAATTCTAATGAAACATGGTGAAAGATGGAGGCTAGATATATTTACAGTGAAAGCCATCACTAATGGCATTCGATGACTGTCATGTTGAACCACGAATCGATTGAAGTTATAAATGCGCACCACGTGATAGCAACATAGTGGTTTGAAGGTCAGTTGGCAACCTCAAGGCCTGAAGGTCATGGGTCCAACTTTCGGGGTACCCATGGATGAGCACTGCTGAGGTGTCACATAATAGTCTGAAACAAGTGTCTAGAATTCACTTGCTTTCAGTGGTAACCCAACCAAAGTGCAACGGTGAGAAATCCCACCTGAGAACTAAACCAATCCACAAAAAATCGATTCATTTATCTTTAAGTGAGGAATTGCTATAAAACGTATATCTTACTTGAAATAAAAGGAAAACCGGTAGGAAGAAATTGATGGAACTTACATGCCATCTACCTTTACGAGGTATTTTATCTTAGATTAGTCTACAAATTCTCTGGGATAGCCGAGTGGTAAATATTTAATCTACATCAAAATTCCCCCACACAATCATGCGTTTATTGTTTCTTCCAATGAATGGAGCATTATTGCAAGAGTCAAAGACGCACTGTCCCGATTCAGATAGTTAACATAATCTTTTCAATTCATGAGTAAGCAGGAAACATATTTCCGTTTGGGAATAAGGAAACTTCCTTAAGCAAACAGCTAATGTTTTAACTATTAATTGGTAGGTTATAAACCAATGAGTTCAGTCTTACGAACTTTAATCACCACACGTGTTTTAACAACGACCTCACTTCAACTATAAAATGTACTTAACTTTTCCAAACAATTGATGTTGTGTGAAATAAATGGAGAACTAGAGAGATAAACAAGAAAAATATCTATAAATTAAACTAATATTACTGTTTATAAATTAAATATCTCTACTGAACTATGTATACGTTTCTAGCTTAAACTAGGACAATAATCTTAGATATTTAAAATAGTTGTGTATTATCGTAACTGTAAGTAAACAAGCTCTTATGGATGTAAGTTATGCATTAAAAATAATAATAAACCATTTTATCGGTGCTCACTTTCCTACGCTATTTATCTATTCTAGGACAAAAAGTTCTGTTTACCCAATACAGAAGATTATACAGAATCACTGATTTTGATACGCTGTGTGATTGTAGCTACTCTTTAAGCTCAATCAATATCGTGTCTGAAATAATTGGTAAGTATGTTTCATTGTACACGGTAAACAGAAGGGTACGAAAGTAATTGCCAATAGCTTTCCATCTTATAAGGACGTTAGAAGTTGCGTTCGAATGCACGAAAAGAGGATGAACTTGTTTTTTTTATGTCACATGCTCTATTCTACCCCAAAACTGTAAGATTTCAGGAGTTAAACTTTGTTACAGCATATGACGATCCACGATATATTTCTTTCCTTATCCATATCCAACATTGAAAGTTTCGATTCTCTTCCAATTAATTCTGCTATCACAAAGGACTAAACCTAAGCTACAAAACGATTTAATGGATATTTTGTCAATTAGATTTTGCTCATCGCAGTTCTTACTAGTGGTAGAAATCAAACATACCTTATTTAGCAAATCAATAAATAATAGAGTGAACACGAAGAAAAACCATTTCAGAAATCATAACATCATCTAAATGAACCTTAAAATCATCAATAATGCAGTGGTCTACGTTTCCCACTTTACGAAAGTAAAAATAGGTAAGTCAACCATAGGAAGGTGTTATAATGAGAATAAAAGTACCGGTAAACAAAAACCAAATAATGGCATAAAAGTATTCAATACTTAGGGAGAGATAATGAATTCATCTTCTTCTCTTCAACCTAAGATAGATTATCTAACAAAGTCCCGTTTGGGAACGACATTCGCACAGTATCCTCACTTGAAATTGTTTACCAAAAGAAGACGTTTTAGTCAATTCACACACGACACTAACTATAATACTGTTAATAAACAACCTAAGGAAGCAAAACTATTCTGTGATTGCCTGATGTATTTATTGTGAACAACAAAACTAATAATATAGTTACTTAATAACGGGAATCTAAAATGCTTATAAACTCTCTACAAAATGTTAATAACCACTGAAATAGAGACATTAAATTCATTGCTAGGTTCTTAGACATTTGAAATACGTTCGTGAAAACTCATGAAGTACTGTTACACTTCAACACTTTTGGTGATTTGTTTGGGTTTTTCTCCCAAAAGTCAATACATTTTATGCAAATAATCATACATAAATTCTTACCTCTAACATGACTGAAAAGATGTGAACACTAATGTTTTAGCTCTATATCAGCAGAATAAAATTTACTACCATTATTTTCATACAACTAATCATATAAAACGACAAATCACAATAATTTGAAACTCGATATCAGTCGCTAAACTTTTAAACTAAAGAATGAAGAAACTAAACACAATTAGTTTTTAGATTCCCCATCATATTGTAGCGAGTGAAAAAAAATTAATGTGAACTTAATATATAGAAAATAGGGTACAAGAGTAAAGTAGTTGTATGGCACATACAAGGTCATGTTTAGGAGTAGTGTGCACTAAAATAAATGCAACGATCAGCAACTGATATTATTAAGCAACTTACCTCAATTCTGGATGCCTTTTGTTTACTATTATTTATCCCAAACATCTCAAAGAGGTATTCTTCATATCTATGAAACAAATTAAGAAAGTGCAACAGCTGTTTTATCTCAAAATAACATTTGACGTAGCAAAATTTGTTAGATAACCAAATAAAAGAAATACTTTCAAGCAAAACATTGATTAACAAACACCTAAATTTAAAACATTTTTACATGGATTCAAATGTCTATATATCATTGTGATTTAAGCTAATGATATATATTTCCTTAATTTTCACAAGTTATAACCTCATTCTGAGAGCACGATCATTACCATCCTCGTGAATACATAAGTAGAGATAATGTTTTTTTGTAGGCACCCTATTTTGACGCTAAAATTAACTACTAATAAGTAAAAGCTTGCTTACGCAACCAATGACGCCCCAACATATTCAGAGTTGTCATTAGCATATCATTTGATAAAAGGGCATTTACAGCAACAGTTCGTGATATATCAATTAGTGAATAACAAACCATACATGTCCAGTTTTCGCACGTTTATGACAAGTATAGTATCATATAAATTTGGATTGCAAAGCAATCTGTCTAAGAAGCCTGAAGTAACATAATAAGGGCAAAAGACTTGAGATAACGTCAAACAATATAAGGTATATACAATAACTCGATACATAACAGCAGAAAGATCAAACAAAGAAAGCATACAAAAGACCACCAATAAACATACCTTCTTCGAAATGCATTCATTCCATATCCCAAATAACTTTTAACGTAGAGTTTGTATCGTTGATTTGTAGAAAACCAATTTCTCGTTAAGGAAAATTCCGATACTAAGCTGCTTGGTAGATTACCTGTCGATTGTACTTCATAAGCGATTTGCATACTTGCTCCACCCATGTCAAGCATGCCATTAGTAGGTTGTTTAACAGGCCCTGTAGACAAAACCAGAATTTATAATTTTCAGAGTAGTTAAAAGTATCCTTTCACTTCCTGAGTATGATAAATATCAGATAAAAGGTGATAATTATTAATGGAAGGAAGGTTAAATTTGCATAGCTTTATGGACTATAAACTAACAGAATATTCACCGGTTATAAGTAAGTAGTCGAACTGCGTTGTTTTCACCAAGGTTTATCCCAAAGTAAAAACGACTTAAGTAACATTTTAAGCATCAGTTAATAAAATATATTGTGACTCGTCAAATCTGAGATCAGAACACAGTCCTTACCTTTATCCCCAGGAAGTAAACGAAACCTTCCAAGTAGGTAATTTACAGAAATCCAACCAAACAAACCTTCTTCTACACCAGATATTGTGTAAGCATAAGATTCTTTAAACTGGAATTTATAAGTGGATTTCACATGACTTCGAACATGCTCCCAAATTTTATCTTGATCTCTGTCAGTACAAGAAATAATGATTAATTAAATCAATGCATACGTTTGTGTAAGAAGCCTCATTCCTGCTGTAGCCATAATAAATAATGGGGTGCTAGGTTGGCTACTCAAAGGTATATGTGACTCAGCATAGCTCAACAAGGCAGAAATATAATCAGGAATGTCAGATAACTTGTTGGCAAAGCTTGAAAGACCGGGGGTTTTCTTCTTTACCACAGGATTTCCTGATACATCTTTTAAAATTTCTACATCTTCTAAACCACTCAAGGACTCTGCTTTCGTTCGCCATGTGTATACGAACATTCTTGAACCACTGCTGCCTGAAAGAATTTAAGAGTTTACTTTCGACTTACCAGCATCAATAATGATAATATAATTTTGACCAACCGGTGCTGCCTCAAATGTATGCATCTCGAGCAGAATAAAGACTACGGTTATGGTGTTTAAATATGTGGATAATGTATGCCAGCTCATAATTTAGTGAAAACCGGCAAAACAGTGAAAGTTCTTGATATATATACAATCCTTAGATGTAACACCAGAACCATATTTCTGCTCAACCAATCACCATGCCGACAAGCGACTAATTGCATGACCCGGTAAACTTAAGTGATCTAGTTTTTCGTTTCAACCATGAATTAACAAGATTAGGCGAATTAGCAGATTATAATTGACAATCTCGTGGTTTTGTTTAGGTTTTTTTCCAAATATATCTCTGATTATTCATAATATTTCTGCAGAAGTTAATAATGAATGGATGGATAATCTTTAATATTGATCAACATGCGTTGCTCAGCCTGTTCCTTCCTAGCAGTCTGTACGCTTCCTAATGATTCCAAAAATCTGGTCAATCAATTTTCTGGCCTTTTTGTGTCGAAAAGTTTGGTGAGAATCTCATGAATATGTGTTGACGCTGTTCGGGAACTAGTTAATTCTAAAGTGACTTTCACAGTCCGTGAAATTGATCGTTTTACCAGCACTTAGCTTACTACGTTGTGTCTAGAAGTTTGCCTGGTGACCATGGGGACTATCTCAGCTTGTCCTAGACCTGATACGAATAATAATTTGTCTTCGAAATGTATGCTCTGCTTGGCGAAACAAAGTATTGTCGTTAACGCGATTATATGTTGAGAACTACTACATCGTCGCCAATTCACTTTTAGGCCAGGCATATAATGGGGAAGTAATTTGAGATAGTCAATCGTCACATGAATTGTTTCAGGTTGTTCAAGAAAATGGTAGTTGTATTACAGGCTACCTTTTATAAATTTTTAGCACCTGGAATAGCATTCGACTATTTTCATATTTCACCCCGCTAAAGAAAACAGATCAGGATTAGCTCTTTGATGAAAGATGAAGTGACAAAGATGTGCTCTTCAGATTAACTTAAGTTGGTAGAAGTCAGTTAACCAGTCCATAAATAGGCCTGCATAGATAGTAAAATCTGTTTCAAATCTTGACAAACTCCATTTTTGCGAAGGAATATACACGATGAAGTCAGATAACAGAATAAAAAAACTGACATGTTTTTAATGTCGTAAATAAATCCCCGAAATAAACAGCTCTGTAGGTCTTTGACATTGGATGCTGGCCACACTAGTTTTAATGAACTCACCTAGCTGAAGGCATAAGTCCTCGCAGTAGCCAAGGCACTACTGAGCGAATTCAACAGTTACGTAACACCTAGTGTGTTTACTAGTGATGTAACTGAAGCCTATAAAACACTGAAACGATCTATCCTTAACCACAGAGTTCTGACCGATCAAAAAAGGTTAGACCAACTTTTTATTAATATCGACCTGCAGCACGGTTCTGCGACAGACATGTTGCAAAGAATGAGAGAGTTTATTGGCCAAAGAACTTTTGATGATGACTTATTCAGACAGCTTTTGTTATCTAAGCTTCCTCAACAGGTGCAAGCTGTGCTGGTCTCATTCCTAAACAACCCCGTAGACGAGCTGGCTGCATCGGCCGACCGCATCCTAGAAATCACGAGATCGTCTAATGCCGAGATATTTCAGTCAAAGAAAAACCCTGACTGGTGCTGGTATCACAACCTGTGTCGAGAGTCTTCCAAAAATTGCGGAAAACCCTGCAATTTTTCCAACTCCAAATCGACCGACAAGAAAAACGATTCGGTAAACTTCCCATACGGCACGCGTTAACGGCAACCATAGCCGACAAACATAGCCGTCTGTTATACGTCATAGATGAGAAAACGAAAGTTCGCTACCTTTTCGATACTGGCGCAAAAGTTAGTGTTCTTCGAGCGAATTCTAACGGCCGGCCTCACGAAGCGGTTTTAAACTTACGGGCGGTAAACGTTATGGTAAAATGTACGTTTACCTTAACGCGGGTTTACTCAAACCCATTCACTGGATCTTCGTCGTTGCAGATGTTTTTATGCCATTCCTTGGTATAGATCTGCTACAGCAGTATAATTTACTCATCGACACTCGTAAATGGAGGCAAGTAGACGGAAACAACAATTAATCTGTTTGCGTAACTTCTTCTTCCGGTTGCAGATTGTCTCCTGTCACAGTTAGGCACACAATAGACCCATTCTATCAACCATTACTCGATAAGTATTCTGGGATATACCAACCACAACCGAAATCACCGTGTGTAACCAGCTATGCTGTACATCACATCATGACTACAGGACCTCCTGCATTTTCGAAAGCGCGTTGACTGGTTCCCGAAAAGCTGAGATTGTCCAAAAACGAATTCGATCACATGATAGAGTTAGGAATCATCCAACGTCAAGCAGCCTATGGGCATCTCCCTTGCACATGGTCCCTAAAAAAGGACAGCAACGATTGGCGTCCAACTGGTGACTATCCTCGATAGAATGCGAAAACCATTCTTGTTCGTTACCTGTTGCCTCACATTCACGAGTTGACAGCTACCTTGAAAGGTACAACTGTCTTTCCGAAAATCGACTCGGTTAAAGGTTGTAACCGAATTCCCATGGCCACTGACGACATCACCCAAACCGCTATCATTAATTCTTTCGGTCTTTACGAATTTTTGCTCATTTTGTGCGGCCTAAGAAATTCTGCCCAAACATTTCAATGATTCATAGTTGACGTTTTTCGGGGTCTGAACTTTGTACATGCGTATGCTGTTGACTGCTCGATAGACAAAGAATCCCATTTCCAGCATCTGGACCTTGTTTTCGACCGTCTTGAAAACATGGCATTACTGTAAGCATTCAGAAATGCCAAATCGGAACCGACTCGTTAGACTTTTTAGGACACACTATCGATGCTCAAGGAATTCGACCTCTTAGAACCAAAGTGGCGGCCATTCTGGATTACCCAAAACCGACCACCGTCAAACAATTACGAACGTTTAAAGACATTGTGAGCTTGTATAGACAGTTCATACCAAATTGCCCGTCACTTATGAAACCGCTAAAAGGCCAACTTCGTGGAAATGCGGAATTCATTAACTTAGACGATAACACGTAGAAAGCATACTCCACAATTAAGGAACATATCGCCAAGGCAACCATGCTCACACATCAAGACACTCAAGCGCTCATTGGCATTGCAGTAGACGCATCGGAGTCAGCATTGGGTTAACCACTCCTGGCAACCTTAAGCATATTTCTCGAGACGGTTGCTGGACACTGAATCAAGGTATGGTACTTTCGGTAGAGACCTTCTAGCCATGTATTCTGCTGTACGGTAATTTCAACACTCTATCGAAGGCCGAGATTTCACCCTTTACACTGATCACAAACCGCTCACGCTCTCTTTAAGCTCATCTTCAGACAAGTACTCCCCTCGAGAGTCTCGACAAATGGACTACATTTCGCAGTTTATTTCAGACACTAAACACTTTTCTTGAGCAAACAATGTAGTTGCAGACGCCTTGACTCGTATAACTTCCTTGAACAGATTCCAATGAATCGACCTCCTTAAACTCACACGAATTCAAAAAGAACACACTGATCTTCAGCACGAGTTGCCCTCAAAAGTTCTTAAACTTAGCATTAAACAGATGGGAACAGGTAAGGGAACTTTACTATGTAAAATATCTACAGATGGGGATCGTCCAATCGTGGCGAAACATTATCGACGCAACGTCTTTGATACGTTGAACAAACTTTCTCATTCAGGTGTTTGTGCTACCACCAAACTTATAGCAGGGCGGTTTTGCTGGCCTGCTATGAGTAAAGACGTGAGGAAGTGTGCACGCTCCTGTGTAAGTTGCCAGAAATCTGAGGTTATTAGACAAAATAAATGTCCCTCAGGCTCGTTCAAAACTCCTGGTGCTCGTTTCGATCATGTTCATCTGAATGGGGTAGGACCTTTACCCGATTCAAATGGACATCAGCGCTGAAACAGTAGTCCGTGCCTTCGTCGAACGATGGTTAGCAAACTTCAGCTACCCTTCAACCACCACTGCAGATCGCGGACGCCAGTTGGAATCTGGACTTTTCCGTTATCTGACCGCACTATTAGGAATAACTCGCTTCCGAACGACCGCCTACCACCCACAAGCAAGCGGGTTGATAGAACACTTTCACGGGCAACTAAAAGCTACATTATCAGCTGCAAACGATTTACAGTGGACTGACGCTCTTCCACTCGTCTTACTAGGTATTCGCAATGTAGTACAGAACTTTTATCTCGTGTTCGTCCTCCTTAAACTGTCTCATATTTCACTTCTGTGCCATTTGAGTAGCGTGCGTAGTCAGAGTGCTGCCACTAGCGGTTGCACTATAACTGAGAAAACGAATAACAAAAGTAGGAGTTTTAATACAGTGGTTAATAACAAGCCAAAAAAATTTGTTTATAGCAAGGGGATTATAGGAAAGCTCAAGAACACAACAGGAAAAGAATCTCTGAGTGACATGTACATTATGGTTTACTCGTCTCAAACATCAGAACTAAATTTCCTATTAAGTAATCAGTTTCACATTCTGACTCATGTCCCTACTCCTTATAAGGCTGCTTAGCACGAAGGAAACAGGAGATGAGAGCGTCCTAAGCTGCTTTTGTCACTGACTACCAATAAGGGGAAACAGCTCAAAAACGACATTAATATCAAATTCTCGTCGCTTGTTAAAACTGGTGACTTGATATTTGAGTATGATTTCTCTTGGGCTGCGTTTATTGTCCCTGTGATGCACCAGCACCTATACAGTGCTACGGGTTTATTTAAAATTACCTATATCAGTGGTCACAGTGTGGCCACAGTGTGGAGAAAATAGATCAACGAAACTAACAAGAAAGAAGAGTGGGATCTCGTCGAAATCAACTTTAGACATCTCCGCCACAAAACCAAATTCATCCAACACAGGTTCAGACAGTCATGTGATTTTGGGAGTTGCGATCCGTGCTCACATACCAATGAAATTATAGGCCGCTGATAATACCCCTGTATCTGTTAACAGTAAAGAGCGGTGGATGAATGTCAGGAACTGAAATAGCAAAAGCATAGATGCCAAAAAAGCTAAAAATGGAGGGTGAAGACATTAGACGAAAACCTTGATTTTATTTAATGTTCCTGTGTCGGAGATCAGCGTTTAAAAAGTCGAAACAGCTTTTGACGAAGAACAGTGTGAAAATTTTTATACAATTCTGGAAAAAATTATCACTTGAGCCAAGCTA